TCCTCTTCTGCGATACCACGGCATTTTTCAGGGTATCCGAGAACCTACTGCGACACACCAGGACCCAAGCCAAGAGCTCCCAAGTCTGAAGGCTCCTCTGGCAGCCTCTCCCCGGGCTGGTCCCAGCCAGCACCCTTCGGCCAGCCTGCACCGGGAGGGCTTGGACAAGGCAGAGGGAGTGTTTACTTGGTCTTTCTCCGGGTAAACTCCCGCTCGGAGGAAGGAGGCTTTCCAGCTGTCCACGTCTTCTTGGGAGTCGCAGGCCAGCTCAATCTGACGGAGATCTTTGTACACATTCCTAGGGAAGAAGCAGTCAGCAATAGGATGAGAGGAAATGGCCTCAAGCTGCGTCAGGGGAGGCTGAGATTGGATATTGGGAGAAATTTCCTCACGGAAAGAGCGGTCAAGCGTTGGAAGGGGCTGCCCAGAGAGGTGGGGGAGTCCCCAGCCCTGGAGGGGTTCAAGAACCGGGCAGAGGTGGCACTGGGGGCCATGGTTTAGTGGCCATGGGGGTGTTGGGGTGACGTTGGGCTGATGGTCTGAGAGCTCCTGTCCAACCTTAGCCATTCCTGGTCTGACTTCATGGAAAAATGATCCAAGCCAGGAACATGAAATTATGGCTCTGCCCTTAACTGGTCTGGTGGTGGGCTTGGCAGTGTCAGGTCAATGGTTGGACTGGGTGATCTTCAAGGTCTTTGCCAACCTCAACGATTCCATGATTCTATTCTAAGAAGGAGCGGAGCCGGGCCTGAGGACCACGGAAGGTGACTGGGAGGATGGCTCGGGGACGGAAGGCTCAGCAGAACGCCGGCGAGACCTCCAGCACCACGAGCCCTCACCACCAGGCAGCCCGAGGAAGCCTGAAATCCCTCCAGAACGCGCGTATAAATATCGGCAAGCTGCTGCTTCCTCTGGAGAAACCACCAGCTCCTGCCTCGGAGCACGGCACCGAATGGACGGGGAAGGCGGATGCGCGGCCTGGGTTTGGACCAGCAAGGACCGAGGTGAGGGCAAAACCATCAGCCCATCAACCCCGGCGCGGCTGGGCAGCGTTTGGAGCCCGGTGCGATACCCGGAGAGC